AAAAAAAAAAAAAAAAAAAAAAAAAAAAAAAAAAAAAAAAAAAAAAAAGAGGTAAATTTGAGCACTGTTTTGTCTGAATGGCCTCAGGCAGGGCACTTAATACACCCAAGACACAATTCCTTAATATATAATGTTAAAGTGTAGAACTAGCTGAGTTCTTTGCCCCTTTCAGTGTCAACATTCCCTGCTTCAAACTTACATCCACAGTACAACTTCTAAAATACATTGGCCTATCAAAAGTCAACCCGCTGGTTCTTTGAAACTTAAAAAGTTTTCTTAAGAAGGCTTACTTCAGAAAGAACTATTTTTTTTCACAACTACCCCAAATAACTATGTATAACACGTTCAAGAATGCAATATCAAGTATAAATTCAGTGATGATTTATAACCTAAAAACAACTCCAACTCATAAAGGTAGTTCTATCAGAGTTAGATTATTCAGTTTCAGGGCAAGTAGATATTAAATGTCTTACATGTATATTATGAACTGCACCTTATGTGTAAAGCTGTCTTTTGCTCATCTGATATACAGTGGCAACCAACACAGTTAATTATCCGGCCCAGACAAATAACTTAGAATGAACTCACTGCTAGATTCTAGAGGAATCAATACAACAGCATCTGTTTTCAATAAAAACACATCCATCTACATGAAACCTCAAGGTGGGGTGAGTTGACAATGAAGGAAAGTCTTCTCTTCTGATCTTGATGAGAGGTGTAGCCCTGAGGATGCTGCTACACTATTGTCAGACATTACTATATATAAGTTACATGTACTCATCAAAGAAAAGAGAGTCCAATGCTGCCTACTTATTTTTTAGATGCTCCCCTCTCATGAAGAAATTATGACTGTAATTGGAAGTCAGGCCTCATTTCAGCAAATAGCAGTAGTGGTGAATATAAACACATCCTCTAAATATATTTGTCAAAGTTCCATCTATAAACTAATGCAAATATAAAAATTCATCTCAAATTACTTTTCTGTTTGACTAACATTAAAAGCTTTTCATTTGATATGCATTTATCATCCCCCAGAAAAGAAAATCATGAACATGTACTAGGAGCACAAATATAAGGGTTAATAGATCAATCTGCCTCCCCACACACAAAATCAACCTTACCTTTTAACTAGAAAACCATCGGAAGATATATTATTCTGAATGATATCTAATGACCAAATTTAAATTCATGTCTCTAGAACTATGCAAAAACATGTGTCTTGAACATTTTAAACCAACCATTGGTTCAAAAATATTTCATGTTTTTAATATTTAATTTGATTCAGATGGACCTCTTGTTTTGGGTCTATAAAAGTGGAAAAAGCTGCGGGGTTTTTCTGGCCCAACAGCACAAAGGCATATTATTACTGTTAAAAATATTACATTTACACATTTACAGGGACGACAAAGACAGAAGGATTTAGGAATAATTTGCAAACAAGCTTCTTACTAATGTTGAGTTGTGTCTGCCCCCATTACACCCCCACAAAAACTGCAAAGCATGAGATTTCTTACCTTCACATTTTTGTGACACTTCATTAAATTTGTGTCCAGCAGGGCATTTGCACTCAAAAGACCCAACAGTATTAATGCAATTTCCTCCTTGACAGAGCCCGGGGATGGCCTGGCATTCATCCACATCTGTCAGATTGCAGGAGACAGAGAGAGAAAAACAAACTCATATAAAATTCATTGCAAATAAAATGTGATGTTTGTCCACAATTATATCGATGAGTTATCTGCCCATCACAATATTTGGAATATGATTAGAGGAACTATTTCTCACAATCGCATTATGTAAAATACACAGTATGATTAATGATGTTCTATAAGAAGTCACAAGTATTTCTGTTTTCCCACCTTCCATGTTTCCTAATACAGAGGAGAGTGTTCGTACTAACTTTTGTGGGTTTTATCATACATGCGGCAAAGTAGAAGGATCCATTTAACAGGCCGTTATTCACGGCCTCATTTTTATCTCCAGATTGGTAGTAATGATCAGAGTTATCCAAGAAATCTTGCAAATCAAAATGCAACACATTTCTACAATGAAACTATCTTTAAGAGTTATACTGAATGATTTAGTTAAAACAGAATTTATTGAAGGTCACTCAGACTACATGAGACAGCTAATGTTTTTACACAAATGAAGTGGAAAATGTTCACTTCGCATTCTGGAAAAGCGTCTTGCACAGTAAAAATTAAACAACTCAGAAAATTAGGCCAAGAAGTGAGAGAGATCATTAGGTGAGTGTGCAGTTTCAGCTGCAGACTTACCTTGCTGGCAGAGTGGCTGCCAGAAGGCACCTTTGTAAAGGTCAGTGAGATCATGTCTTTCCCTAGCTCAACGCGCATGTCCTTCCCTAGCTACGTCCCAGGAACTTCTACATGACTCCTCTGCTCTTTTACCCATTTTCCACCCTCCTACCTCTGTCACTCCTCTACCACCACAATGGATTCCTCAAATATGCCAAGGATGCACCTGCCACAGAGCTCTGTAATGGCTGCCCCTCTGCCTGGAATATTCTTCCTCCAGAGAGCTGCAAGGCCCACGCTGTCTGATCCTCCAGGCCTCTGCTCCAAAGCCACTTTAGGCGCCAGCCCTTCCCTTGATAGTCCAACAGCAACACCTGGCCCCTGGCTCTAATCATCCTTCTTTCCCTGTTTGGTTTTTTTTTTTTATTAGAGGACTAACCACCCACTGACCTAATAGGTGCCTGTTTGTTTTGTTAAACAAATTGATTGTCTTTAACATAAGCTTCCAGAAAACAGGGACTTTGTCCATTTCCTTCACTGTTATATAACAGCACCTAAAGAATGACTTGGGGTCTTATGTGTAAGCCCAAATGTTAACCTTCCAGGAGCAAAATTAGTCATCTCAGGCTCAGTACCTTCTGTTATAAAGACTGTAAAAGTACACATATATTCTCTCCATCTCTTTGTTCAGAACACAGAAAAGTCTGATTTAATAAAGAATCCCCAAGGAAACAATCTAATGTATTCTTTTTGAAACCTGGAAGCCTCATGTGCTCTTTAGTTTCACTCTTCATTGAGTAAAGAAGAAAAGCGATTGCTGTTTATAAGATCTCAACCTGTGTTCTTGGGAAAAGTCAGCATGCAGTAAAAGGGATATTAAAGAAACAACACTTTAGTTTATTATAAAAGTATCACTTACTGTTTCAAATAAAATGTCTTAACCACAAATAAATGATTAGATGTGGAAAATCATTAGATTATGTCTTCTAGATGATTTCAGTTATGTCTTAGACCAGAATTTTCCATTCTCTTGATATGTTGAATGTATTTATTAAATGGTTTTAAAAATCAAGATTTTTACATATAGGTAGAACTAGCTGTCTTGTTGATCACGATTTTTGGCCAAAAGAAAATACAGATGAGGCAATTCTCCACTGGCTGGATACTCCAGGACTGAAGACAGAATAAGCTCCTTTACGAACCCGTTTGCCCACAACCCCTCACATCTGACCCAAGGACTGCAAACGCCAGCAAGGAGTGAGAGCTACAACCTGGTGGCAGAATCGCTTAGAAAAAAAACACAACCAAACGAGAATTTCACTCTCAACATGGCAATATAACTGTCATTGTGATCCTATAGGATTTCAAAACTTTCCGTATAAAAAACTTTTTTTCCCTTGGATTTTAGATAGCAGAGTTAGGAAGTCTAGCTCTCTGGTCACTGTCAATGAGTTCATGGGTATTGGCTAACTTTGTAATCCCAAGACCAGCAAATTCTTCAAAATTCACTGGGGCTTTCTAAAAATGGGAAAAATAAGAAGGCACCAAAGAACAACTAAACTTTAAATTTTATAAAATACTACAATCCATCTCTTGATTAATTCTAGAGTTTCAAAGTGACTTATTTCTTCTCCTGACATTCAGAGGGATACATTTAAGGGCATCCAAAGGAGCTGTATGTTGTACATGGGAGCTGGAAGCCAGAAATGACAATATCAGAAGTGGAATTTACCGAAGTGGAATTTAATGGCGACCCACAGAACTGTGTGACTAAGCTCAAGTTCTGTTTTATTACATATTACCCTTAGAATTAACATAAAACAAAGGCAAAGTTTTATCTATTTGCTTCAGAAAAGTGAATCCTGAATTTTCTGAAAATATTGCAACTTGCTATAAAAAGCCCTGAGGCTGTCTAAAGGAAACAGATATAGCCTCAGAGCTTTCAGTCCCATCAGTTTAGTGTGGAGCTGCCTCTGTTCACTTCCTCCTGTTTCCTGCCAGACATCCAGACAATAAAAGAATTTGTACAGCTGGAAGAACAGGAGTAAAAGCCAAAAACAGAGTAAGGGCTTCTACGGGAGGCAGGAGAAGCAGCTAGCAGGCGACATCTGGGGATATTTAAAACTGTGAAACAAATCCTAATTTATTTCGGACTTGTAAAATATGCAAAATGTAGCATGTAAAATGTCAAGAGAAGCAATTTTCTTCAGGTCAATTAAGCCAACCCATGAGACAGAGGAACTCTAACAGCTTCAAATGAAGAAAAACATAAACTACCTTGCTCACAAATCTTGCTTTGTGTTTCTACAAAGCATTGCCATAATGCACAGCATTGCTGTAAACAGAATCACACCGCCCCGGGAGTCAGAGGTACATGCAAACACCTCTGGGGTCAGAGAGGGGGAAGTGTTGGCAGGAAAACATCCAGTAAGACTTCAGCTGCTCTCTCGAGAGCCACGTTCCTAATGCCTTAGTTGGATATCATGCAGTCAGCGAAATTGTGAAGTTATGTAGCTGACACTACTTTTCCATTCTCTTCAACTTCATTGGAGAATGGCTCTCCAGAGCAAATAAGATTAATCCATTAATAACTCCATCAGCCTGGGTTTACCTTGACAAGCTCCCGTGCGGATATTTGGAATAAAGCCACGGCGGCAGGGGTGAGGCTGGGCAGGACACATCTCACAGGGGTGGCCCCAGGCTCGGCCGACTGTGGCACAGCAGAGCGTTTTTGTGCAGACAATCCCGCTGAGTTGTCCCTGGCACATCTGGTTGCTGACCACAGTAAAACATGGGCCTGTCCTGTAATCTGAAAATAAAGAATAAAAATCTGATGAAAATCCAGAAAAGCAGGAACCATCATGCAGAGGAACAGCTGTGCCCCTTCTTGCTTGATTCCAAATTGAGAAATGAATTTCAGGGATAGAATCACGCATCACTGCTTCTGTGCAAGGCCTTGGATAGACCATTCTACTTCTGAATCAAATTTCCTAACCTACAAAATGGGGATGAAAACATCAGTTTTTATCCACTTTGAAAACAGCATTGTGAAGATTAGATGAGCTCATGGAAAACTCTTTACAACTGTGATTTGCTCTACAAATTTAACATAGTAATATTATTATTCACTCATTACTTAAGAAAATATATCGGTGCCTGCACTTGATCAGCCCCTATGCCTGACACAGATGCTTCAGTGACTAAAAGATGCCAAATCCCTGCCCTCACAGAGCTTCCAGTCTATTGTTATTTAGGGCTGAGAAAGCAAAGAATTTTGAAGCTTGCAGTGAGGCAAGTCGTGGCACCTTCTTCCTGGGAGTTCCTTCAACAAAAGAAATGGTTATCTGTTTTACTTTTTTATATTTTTTTGAGTTGGGATCCTCTTATTTCAAATACAAAACAAGTAAACAAACAAGAATTTAAAAGTTTGTCCATGCAAAACACATTAGGTATTTAATATAAAGAGTGAGGACACTGGTCTGAAATCATTGTAACCCCTAGGCAAAAGCACCATCTTAAAGCAAAACAGGGATAAGCTAAGGCCACAAGAGAATTTCCAATCAGAGCAGTCCTACCACCAGTTAAAAGATCGGCCTCTTTTTTTCCGCCCCCCTCTACAGAGAGAAAGCCAACAACAAACAAGAAAGATAAAGATGTGGTGGGCACAGAGGACCAAAAGCCAGGCTGTCCTCACAGGCTGTGAGAGAAATCAGGGCCACAATACCCATTTCTGTGGATCTACCATGGCCTTGACAATTAAGGGAGGCTGGGCTGGGGTGGGACTCATGGGCTCCTATCCACGACCAGACATTTGCATGCTTCCAGGTCATTTTCAGAAGTGTTTAGGTAGAATGGTTCCTGTGAGTCTAAAAATGGACTCAGTGACCCCAGTAAGTTCCTTTCACCCGTGAATGCAACAGTTTTATGAAAATCACTGGCTGTGCTAATGAAACTACTGGGATGTTTTCATTATTTTCTTCTTTCCTTAAGTAGCTCACAGGACACAGCAAACATGCTATTTGCTAAAGAAAAAAGGAAAACTTTTCATTACAGTACCAGCAAGCGTGAACATTGTGGATTGTAACAATGTTTTGGCAATAGCTGAATCTTATCTGCTGGCATCCCTCTATCCTGTGTGTTTTCCCTTGCATTCTTTTTCTTGCATCTCCACTCCAACCCCTCCCTTGGAATTTTGACTCCATCTCTAGGTGCTCTTCCTCCCTCTCCTCTGCTATCTGCAATGAACCACCTCTGCTCAATGGTGTTATGGAAACAGCACTGCTTGATGCCCATGCTGTAAGATCAACCTTCTGAACAATTCCAAAAACAAAACAAACTCCATGCCAGTCATGTATATAAAGAGGATTACCATACCCTAGCTATGGTACCACTGGAGAGACAGACAGGATGGTCTAAATGCCGAGGCCCCAGCTCCCCATCTTCCTCCCTCCATGCCAGTGTGCTGTATGTCCCACTCACAGAATGTGAGGTGATTTTAGATTTTAGTAGTCATATATTAATTTTAATGTGTATTATGAAATAGCATAAATATATCAGACTCATGATTTCACAGATACGCTTGCTAGGAGGATGATGAAAATCTTTTAATTTGATTTTAAAAAAACATTAACTAATTACTAGTACAGGTGATACGCAAACAGGCCAAAAACTGCGTGTGTGATATCTACATGCAACCAGGCTCATCTTTCCAAAAGACAAGCCTGAGACCTTTGCGTCCCTCTTCTCTGCATGATCTGGCCCCCAACTGCGACTTTCTAGACCTTTCTCCTGACACTTTCTGTTTATCATTTCTTTTTTTTAACTTTGTTTATGTACTTCTTATTCTAGAGTTTTTTTAGTTTTATATAGTCAAATTCTAGGTATATTTTAATAGTTTACATTGTATGTCAGATTTATTCAAAACCTGCTATCTTCTTCCACAGATACTGAATGCAAACAAAAATAGAAACAAATATTAAATACTGAGCTGTTGAATAAACGCCCTCATTTTGTTCTTTCGATGAAGAAAAGGTCACTCAGCACTGCAGTAATTTGTGACAAAATCTCTTTAAAATGCAAGAAGTCATCTTCACTTTTTTGGCTCAATTCTCCCAAAATACGTATAGGCATTTAACAAATACATCTTCGCTATTTGGTCTTTCCTTTCTATTTCAATATTTTATCATGTATTTTAATTCAAAAATTAATTACTTTAGACAGCTGGGAAAAGGCAGTAGCATACAAATAAATGTAATTATACCTAAAGAAATTCTTGATAACATATTGATTATATTATCATACATAAGTTTTTGTGTGTATCCATGTATGTGTTTTATTTTTTAATCACAAAATAAGGATTATACTAAAAGTATACTTTTGAATCTTGCTGGATTTTCTTCATTTAACAGTGCCAAAGCTTTTTCCCATGTAATAAACACTATTCCACAATGTGATTTTAATTGCTGCATAATTTTCTATCAAGTTATAACAGAATGTTTTCAATAACTTTCTATCATTTAAATTGCCTCTAATTCTTCATTATTACACATAACATTCAGTGTACACTACAATGAATCCTTTTCAGAATAAAAAATGTTTAATTCATTCAACAGCCAACAATATTTTTATGACTCTGTGTGTGTGTGTGTGTGTGTGTGTGTGTGTGTGTGTGTGTGTATATATATATATATACACACACTACATCTGAGACTAGAAAAATCACAGCAGTATAATCTTTTATTTAAAAAATAAATAAAACTTTATGTTAGGTAAAAAGAAAGAGAATTTAGGCTTGTTTCTTTTCTGTTAATTTACTGAGACAAGTGCAAATGCTTTAATCAAACAGATCCACGTTAGCTTGCCATTTTCAATCCTTTTAAAAAAGCATAATGCAACATGAATTTTAATTTATAATCCTCTCTTCAGCACTGCTGGGATTTGTTTTTCCACCTCGTTTTGCCAAGATACTCTATGGAATTATCTTATATATATGAGGACTGCAAAGGTTCAGGATAGATGCAAATATGGTGTTTTGTGAGTGACACCAGCAAAATCCAGACACACTACAAAATGCTAAAACAAATCTGATTCAGTTCTGTCTGATATTGATTCATAATTTCAGATGTGAATTCCTCATTGACAGATATTCATTAAAAAAAAAACCCTTAAGACTTTTCCAGGGTCAATAAATTATTCTTATTTCAGTATGAAATACATAGCATCCAGATGATAGTTGTTAATTCTGACAGCATACATTAGGCATCCCAACAGTCCACAGGGATCCAATTTATTAAGAATACTATATATTTGGCAAATACTTTAAGTATGTAGAATAGAAACTACAGACAGTACATTTCTGTGTGAGATACTTATCACTATAAACAAAGTTATTTTGGAAACAAATTAGAACTGGCTTATTTGACAGTGCAGATTAGCAAGTGGATATAAATATATCTGTAGATCTGTATTTTAAATAAAAATTGCTGATTGCAGAGGGAGAGGCATAATCTGGATGAAATAAATTTGGATCTAAAAATCTCTTGGAAGGTAAATGCTGTATTAACATGGTTTTCAAATGTCATTCCGATTTGGCGGCATGTGCTTTTTGTCCTGTACTTCATTTCGATTGCCAAGGTTATGCTGTTTTTAGTCCAATACTCCAACCGCAGAAAGAAATCTGCCCATACTCTCAATTCCTTACTAATAATCCAATTATACGCAATTATTCCCATAGCACTTACATGGTATTAAGCTAAATTTACATACTCTATTTTTTTTTTTTTTTCAGATAGTCCCAGGATTAGACAGGGAGTGTGCCTAATTCAATGCTTGTGTAACGTCTGACTCATTCCTGGCTTCGGTGTAAATCACTATTCCTAATGCAACTAAAATATAGTATTAGAAATGCTTTCTAGTTGCAAATTGCTCTACAATCACTTCCTTATAAAATCTTCATGAACTAGGGCAACAGGCCAAGTCTTTCCAAAATTAAAGTGCGATTCTAATTGTTTTTAACTGGCTTACTCCAGTGTGGCTGGTTCATGGGAAATTCTGCATCTACGTGTTCCCATTCTGAGTGGTTAGCTCAAGGATTGCTCTCCAGTCCCATTAGATTTGGCCTCAAGGCTTGGGCTCTGACCAACATGTGTCTGCAGCCTCTGATCCTCAGCTCATGCCCAGCTCTGCAGCTCAGAATGCTGTGGTCTACAGCATTATTTCACTTTCATTTGTAATCAGACTTCACCCTGAAGCAAACGCATCATTTACAGGGAAAGAAGATTCTGTGATACAATGAATTCTTGTCCCTCCTGCCTAGTCACTAAACCACAAACTGCAGGGAAGGCACAAGGATATAATTTTGGGCACTAGGCTCCAATTATTTTAAATCCTTCTTTTCATAAAAATGACAAACAAAAGAATGAGATATCAATTTATCCATGACATACGTAGAGGGTCACAGCACACTTATTTCTCCAAGGTAGGTTGGCCTGGGAAACATTAGGCTCCTAATGTGTAGGAATTTCAGAGCAACTTTCTGCGGAAGGAGTTCAGAGAACTTTTAGTCTAAGGAAAATTAAAGTTAAGAAGTTCCATTATCGTAATCAGACTCATAACTGTCATTACTTCTTCTTACTCCAATCATTTGTAAGCTTAGGACATAACAGAATCACTTGGGGAGCTTTTGCAAAATGCTGATGCCTGGGTCCCACCCTGTCCTCACCCAGTTTTCCCCATGGAACCCGATTCAGTAGATATGGCATGGGCCCAGGCATCCACATCTTGTGAAAGCTCCCCAAGGTGATTTTGCCC